AGAGCTTATTAAAGCAGAGCATACTGTAGCGGAGCACCAATGCAGAGGCGGACAACTGCACACAACTACACAACACTGCACAACAACAACACAATGCACACAGTGTACAACAACACACCACACACAATTACACAACACAATGTACAACACACTGCACACAACCACACAACACACTGCACAACAACACACTGCACACATCTACACAACAACACACTGTACAACAACACACTACACACAACTACAGAACACACTGCACAACAACACACTGCACACAACTACACAACACAATGTACAACAACACACTACACACAACTACACAACACACTGCACAACAACACAACACACACAACTACACAACACAATGTACAACAACACACCACACACAATTACACAACACAATGTACAACACACTGCACACAACCACACAACACACTGCACAACAACACACTGCACACATCTACACAACAACGCACTGTACAACAACACACTACACACAACTACAGAACACACTGCACAAAAACACACTGCACACAACTACAAAACACAATGTACAACAACACAACACACACAAATACACAACACAATGTACAACAACACAACTACACAACACAATGTACAACACACTGCACACAACCACACAACACACTACACAACAACACACTGCACACATCTACACAATAACGCACTGTTCAACAACACACTGCACACATCTACACAACACACTGCACAACAACACACTGCACACAACTACACAACACAATGTACAACAACACAACACACACAACTACACAACACAATGTACAACAACACAACACACACAACTACACAACACAATGTACAACAACACAACACACACAACTACACAACACTGCACAACAACACAATGCACACAATGTACAACAACACACCACACACAATTACACAACACAATGTACAACACACAACACACTACACAACAACACACTGCACACATCTACACAACAACGCACTGTTCAACAACACACTGCACACATCTACACAACACACTGCACAACAACACACTGCACACAACTACACAACACAATGTACAACAACAGAACACACACAACTACACAACACAATGTACAAGACACTGCACACAACTACACAACACAATGTACAACAACACACCACACACAACACACTGCACAACAACACACTGCACACATCTACACAACATACTGCACAACAACACACCACACACAACTACACAACACAATGTACAACACACTGCACACAACTCAACCACTGCACAACACACTGCACACATCTACACAACAAAACACTTTACAACAACACACTGCATACAACCATATAACACTGCACAACAAACACGCTGCACACTAACTGCACAACACACTGCACTACAACATGCACAACACACTGCACACCCATTACACACTCATCAACACATTGCACACACCACCAGTGTGCAGCATCTAGTTGGATGATACGTCGGTAACCACAGGACAATGGCACCAGTGTGCTCAGCACACACCAGATATAAGAGTGTAAGAACCAGTCTGGAGGGGATGATTGGAAGGCCTTGATGTTTAGGGGCTGATGGAGGGAATTTGGCCAGGACACTGGGGTTACACCCCTGCTCTTTCAGGAGGTGCCATGGAATTTTTTTAATGACCATGAGAGTCAGGACCTCAGTTTAAAGTCTCATCCGAAAGACGACACTCACTGACAATATAGTGTGCCTTTTACTCAATGACTGTAAAAAATATGGACGACGCGACAGCCCTTTTTCCTATTGAACGCCTTGAGGGCAAAACGCCTGCTTGACGGGCACAAACTGTCGCAAAAGACTGCTGAAATTGGAGCCTTGACATGCGCAGAAGGACTGTCTGCTGAGCCAGAGGAGGAGCCACGAAAATGAGCGGAGTCAAGCTTCCAACCAAACGCTTTATGTAAAATCAACCACGCCCCCCGAACTGGCTCGATTGACTCGGGCTGGAATCGGGTAGTGAGTCCAGGCATCCGGAGTAGGTCCAGCAGAGGTAGTCAGTCTGAGCTCTAAGGGATAAGTCTCCGGCAGGCGAGAATCTAGCCTGAACTGTGTCTTGCTATCTGGGTGGTTAGGCGTGTATCAGCAAACTAATAAAGCCCGAAAAAAGCCCTGAACTTAGCGAATAAACAGTGTTCCACCAGGATCATGTATGTCAGAAACTGTAGTTTACTGCTGAACTCATTTTGTCATGGTAAAATAACACAGAAATCGAATAATAACACTTCAGTCTCCTGCCGAAGCTCAGACGCGCTGCTTTGAGAAACTGTCAATCACAACTGTCAATCACGATGACACGCCCAGCATTAAATTACTGCTAAAAACAAACTGTTTACAAAAATGAAGATCTGCACCTATTTCAGCACAATAACCAGTGCCTTAATCGACCAGAACCATCTTTCGGGACATTTTATTGCAAGTGTAATAATTTTTTTATTTGGGCTCAAGTCTCCTTCATTAACACGGAGGAGGCGGGCTTTATGACTTGTACTGCAGCCAGCCCCCAGGGGGCGATCTAACGGCCGAGACCTTCACTCAAACGCAGGCTTGCGGCACACTTGCTTTTACTATATTGAGGCATTAGGACAGACCACAGGTTGAGCGCCTCCTGCTGGCCTCACTAAAACCACTGCCAACAGCAACCACGTGACCCTATTGTGTTGGCAAATTCTGGAGGCGCTCATCATAAAGAGTGTCTGGAAGTGTGTGTGTTTTCTTGAAATGTACCATCAGGAAAGTCCGGGCAGTGCAGATCACTCATTGTTTGACCCTAACTTCATCTATAGAGGAAAATAGCTTTTTACTCCTTCATAAATCATCAAAAGCGTTACTGTACTGGAACACTGCAAGATTAATGCCTTCACCATCTCAGCGTTTCATCATCTTTATATAAAAAGGCCATCATCACCTCCGCAGAGTGTATAACCAGATCAAGATTGTGTTTAAAATACTGAGCGTCACTGAATAAGGAAAGCATATTCAGCTTAAGACTCCAGCTTTTGAGGTTCAGGGTGCTGTTCAGGGGGTCGCATTGAACAGAATGTGTGGTGATGAGTGGTTTTGTAGCAGTGTGTTTTGATGGGTCAACTTTACAGCCATGGGGATTCCTCAGAACCTTGACCTCAATAGGAATCTATTCGTGGAATTCATCATCAGAATGATCTCAAGAAACAGGTTAATCGGGAAAATGCCCAATGGAGATAATACTAAAATTATAACACACCAGTGATGTGATGATTTAGCTCAATTAAAAAAACTAGATCATGTGACAGAATCAAACATTTCAAATCAAGCATTTTATTTTAGTCTCTATTTCAGAGGTCGCCACAGCGGAATGAACCGCCAACAGTTCCAGCATATGTTTTACGCAGCGGATGCCCTTCCAGCTGCAACCCAGTACTGGGAAACACCCATACACACTTATTCTCACACTCACATTTTTTACAGCCAATTTAGTTTATTCAATTTACCTATAGCGCATGTCTTTGGACTGTGGGGGAAACCGGAGCACCTGGAGGAAACCCACGCCAACACAAGGAGAACAAGCAAACTCCAAACAGAAATGCCAACTGACCCAGCCGGCACTTAAACCAGCGACTTTCTTGCTGTGAGGCAACAATGCTAACCACTAAGCCACCGGGCCAAAATGAGTTTATACATATTTAGAATATAAATAATTTTCCAAAGCAATAATTTATTTGATGCATTTGCACTGATAAAAAACAAAACAAAACTGTAAGTTAAACAAAGATCGCTGTTTTACAAAAACTACTATTTGTACTTTAAAATGTTTCATTCAAAGTGTTTGTTGTAATTGTCAATTATTTTTTGATTTTCTTTTGGTGTAGACTTAGACATGCTTTATTATGATTTGAAATGTATGTTTTGTCAAGCTTAAAGGCATGACTTAACTAAAAAAATATATTTAACATTTTTTAAAAAGTGTTAACTTGATTTTTTTAAAAATACGAATGAAATGTAAAGAATTTGCTGAATATGAGTGATATAGAGCGATTGTGAGAATAAAAAATATATTATATATATATATATATATAAAACATATATGATGGCTTTTGAACAAGGATAAAAAGCATAAAATATTAAGATGTAAAATGAGTATTTTGGGGTCGCGCTGTGATTGTAAAATGACTAGAATTATTTTAAAATGTAATAATATAATTTTATTTTAATTTTTTGTTAAATTGTTTTTACACTGAAAGACATTTAGTTGATGTATTCTGTAAATAATGAAGGAACAAAATTGTGTGTATATAGTTGGTCAGAATCATAAGCCCCCTTTTGAATTTCTTTCTCTTTTTTAAATATTTTCCAAATTTTGTTTAACAGAGCAAGGAAATGTTCACAGATTTTTTTTTTCTTCTGGAGAAAGTCTTATTTGTTTCATTTCAGCTAGAATAAATGCAGTTTTTCATTGTTTAAAAACCATTTTAATGTCAATATTATTAGCCCCCTTAAGCTTTATTTGTTTTCAATAGTCTACAGATTAAACCATCGTTATACAATAACTTGCCTAATTACCCTAACTTGCCTGTTAACCTAATTAATCTAGTTAAGCCTTTAAATGTCTTGAAAAATATCTAGTCAAATATTATTTGCTGTTATCATGACAGATAAAATAAATCAATTATTAGTAATGAATTATTAAAACTATTATGTTTAGAAATGTGTTGAAAAATCTTCTCTTTGTTAAACAGAAACTGGGGAAAATAATAAACAGGGGGAGGCTAATAATTGTGACTTCAAATGTACATTATTAAAACAAGCAAATTCTGACTGAGGAAAGTTGAATGTGCTGCTCAGTTTACTTTTTGCCTAATAAATGACAATAGGCTGCAGTTTTTGATTTAAAACTTAAACAGATTTCTTTTTTCCCTAATGATATATGATGTAATAAATTTGTATTTTAAAAATAAGTTTTTTTTCCTTTTTCTAATCTTTAGGAAATATTTTAGTACACCAAAAAGAGATAAGCTAAGCTAATCCAGCTAAAACAGTGCTTAAAATTTCACCAAATTCAAACCTCATAATTAAATAAAAAAATGTAGTAAATTTGTTGTTATAGCCCCAAAACTCTGGAACGGGCTTCCACCCCATATTAGACACGCTTTAACTCTATCTGTTTTTAAAAAGCTTCTCAAACAGCATCTTTGTTCTTTAGCATTTGAGCTTTTTTATGTTGAGGGGTTTGTCTTCTATATTAATTCTTATGTATGTGATGTAGAACTTATTTTAATTAGTATTGATTGTGTTGTAAAAAAATGTGCTATATAAACTAACTAACGACTAATGTTGTCTTACATATTAGTGATTTTTCTAATATGCTTACAGTCAAATGCGAAAATTTTTAAATGACCAAATCTGCTTCTGGCAAAAGTCAGACTTCAAACCTGTCAGACAAAATTGAGGTTAAGTTGGTTTTATATACACACATTTTCCTTAATAATATAATTTCTGAAGTATTAATTACAAGTTCCAAACACTAAACTTATTTGACTATAAAAGTACAACAACTTTCACAGTCAAATAAATAGCGCAAATGTTGTTTTGAAGTAATATTTACATGTAATTTTAGACCGGATACTCAAAGTACCATGGTAAACAATATAGGAAGCATGTGTCACAGGTTGTCCCTGAACGCATGTGCTAATTTAAAACCAACTTTACCTCACTACACTACATATCACTACCCTGATCTCAGTTCAGAGCCTGCCTGTGATGTCTGTGCAAGTGACCATAACAAAGCCCCCAACGCGTGAGTGGACTGAGCCCCGCACTGGTGTGTTTTGGAGGGCAGAAAAAGCCGCTGCGTGGATCCTGCATTCATTAATTCAGTGAAGTCTCGCGGTTGTTCACGCAACCTCTCAGACATCTTGCGTTTGTCAGACCGCGGCGAATCTGCTCCACGCATTTACAGAAACCGAGCAAAATCGCATCCAAGCATCGCTCTATCGCCGTCACATCTTCTTCACATGCGGGGCTGAACTGAGTTTGCGCGTTTGAGACACCCCGGAGAGGATTGCGTGCGGCGTTATATTCGTATTGTGCGTCATTTCTGCATTTCTGCGTTTCCACCCAGGCAATATGGCAACACCAGCCGCTGTAAACCCATCGGGTGAGTACAGGTTTTATTCTTTCGCTTCTAAATTAACTGCGTGCGGTGTTCAAACGCAAACCGAGCGTCTGCGTTCACCCTCAGTATTCTGTTTTCGCGATAAACAAAGAAAGCGCGTCGCGTTTAAACGTACGCGAGCTCCCCCTCCCCCTCACACAACTAACAACAGCGACATTTCCGATTCAAACGCTACAATGTATCGGTTAGAATTCTAAAATAGAACGTTCATTCTTTCGCGACGTGCCGTCGTCGCGAATGTATTGTGACGTCGGAGGGAAATGTGTCTCGTTTGGCTTCTTTCTGTTTCTGCCGCGGCTTGTTGCTAATGCAAATGAGATGCTGAATACATTTGCCACAAGCCAAGTACGTGCTTTGATTTCCTTGATAAGGAACTATTGGATCTGATACGTTAAATGTAGCATTGATCTGAGGTTATGAGAGTATAGCTCGACTTCCTCTGCCTGTTGATTGTATTGCGAGAATGAATTCTGATGGGCAAACAGTCAAATATATTTTCATATATACAGATCAGTAAAATGCAAATTAGTATGTCAGCATATCTATTATGTGGATCACACATTTGTAAGTAGCATATCTATGATGGAGAGATGACAGTCGAGATGTAAACATGAGCATTCCGTTGTTGTTGTTGTTGTTGGAAGACAGTCATGAACTTTACCATGTAAGTTCGCATGCATGTGTGAAGGTTTTCAATTCAGGCAAAGTTGGTTTTATATCCACCCATTTGGTAGTTCTCCTTAATAATACAATTTCATAAAAGGTGATCTTTACTAAAACAGTGAACTCATATGATTATCAAAGTACAACATTATTCACTGTCAAATAAATAGTGTTCATGTTGTTTTGAAGTCATATTTACATGTTGTTTTGGACCGAATATTCAAAGTACCATGGTAAACAATATAAGGAGCGTGTCACAATGTGCGAATATAAAACCAGCTTTACCTCAAAAGGTTTTAATTGTTTTCAGTGGTGTTAACTGTTGCTGTTTTTTGGTTCAATTGCTGTCGTGCCACCAGAGTCACGATTATGTGGGCATCTGTGGTCTATTTTCGTCATCGCTGAATGTTCGCAGGTTTAGTGGTTTGCTGACTCAGTGACAACCAGAATGAAAGCATGTGAAAAGGCAAAACTTAAGAAATGTACACTATGAATATGTGCAAATTTTCCACTTGAGTGTTAAACATTTGTTTTTACGGACATTTCTGCTAACGGAAAACAAAACGTAAGTCAAAAAATAGAGAAAAAAACTAAAATACAATACAGAAAGTTCCTTTGTGTCATAACCATATGTTTGGCCCTAGTTTTACTGATGAAAGTGTAAATAATGACATTTACAGAGATGCACTGGTAAAGACAATTTGCAAAATTAGAAATCATGTTTTTAATCCCATACTGACAAGTATATTAAATAATAGTAAGCGCCGATTCAAATATTTCAATCTACTGTGTTAAAATGATGGATATTTATCTCTGTGATTAAAAAAAAAAAAGTTATTGGGCATTGAAAGATTGTAAATTTTACAGTGCAGACAAAACTTGTAGTTTATTGAGCCTTTGAACAAATTGTAACAAAAAAAGTTGATTGCAAATAGATCTTCTGTTTGTAACATATTTGATACATTGAGCATTAATGACTCCGATCAGGCCAGGATTGGCTAATCGGGAGGCCCGGGAGAATTCTCGGTGGGCCGGTCTATTTTTTGGCCACGAGAACTGCTTGCACTCTTAGCAGTCGCACTTTTTCATTTATATATTTATTTGACCATAGCCTTACTCTTTTTATTAATTATTTTGCCGAAGCTCCGCTCTTTTTATTTATTTTCTCGCAGCCCCGTGAGCAAAATGCAGCCTGCAGGTCAATGATGACGTAACTATCAGTCGAACGCAAACAGCGGCAGCTTAGTGAATATAAGAAGTCGAGTAATTAATATTATGTATATTACACCTGCTCAATGAAAATCAAAGGATTCACAATAAATCTGACATAACTTGATGAGAAATCAGAAAGGGGAGTCAAAGATTAAGCTATTGTGGTCCAGTGGTCAGCGAGTTGCATTACGATGCCACCGACCTGAGTTTGAATCTCACCTAATTTATTTATTTATTAATATTTTTTTTTTAATTTTTATTATTAAGACATATAATACTGTTTGGGAAACTAATGTAGGTGTAAATATTTAATTAAAAATTTTTTTTTGTGTGACCACCGTTACAAAGGACTGGATATCTATAAAGAATTTTGCTCAGAAAATATATTCAGATATTGCAGGAAAGGATATTGTGATGTTTTAAACAATAGTGTTGGAGATTAATGTTCTCATATTTACGAAACACATTGGAAGTTCTGCTGTTTCCTTAAAAAAGACGTGATAGTGTCATTAGAAACTAAATTGGAAATGACATTATTTTAATAGTCATACAGCAAAGTCCTCTGTGTTAAATTCACTCAGTTCAGAGAGTATTTGGTCCCTCTTTATAATAAGGCACACAGGTTAGTTATAAGTAAAGCTGCTGCTTGTGGAGTTGCTTATTGATCGAGTTGATCTTCTGCTGAGATTTTGAGAGATTCGATGCATTATATTTAAGGCTGTGACTGAAGTCAGTAGTACAGTAGTTTTGTGTTTCTCTTCTGTGTTTCTGCTCAATAACAGCAGGTGTTCATCCCCAGTCCTCATCACCTAGTTAATCTTTTCATTGTCTCATTAACCTGAGTAACATTAACTCAATTTAGAGAGGGACCAAATACTATCTAAACTGAGTAAATTTTACTCAGAGGATTTTGTTGTGAACTGAGGTGGGCCTATCTAAGGCTTGAAACTCCAGACGAGTCCCACTCGGGCCTTGACTCCTATAGTATAGGTGAACATATATGAAGAAGAAAAACAAATGCCCACTTGGCAAAAACCTATAGATATTTATATGGCCAGTAATATCTTTTTATATTTTAATAATCAAAGTTCTGTACTTTCATATTTGAAACTGATATTTTACATGCTTATGGATAGTCAAATCCCCCCAAATTACTTCAGTCACATATTTTATCTAAAAGTTCCCTTGATATATGTTTATATTTATAACATATTTATTACATAAGGTTTTTATGACTCTTATAGAAGGTGAAAATATGAAGAAGAAAAAACAAATGCCCACTCGGCAAAAAAAAAAAAAAAGCTGTAGATATTTATTTGGCCAATACGTAAGATTAAATTCTGACATATTTTTACTTTTAAATAATCAAAGCTCTGTGTTATCATGAAACCCATATTTTACATGCTTATTGATAGTCAAATCACCCAAGATTACTTCAGTCAAGTTTTGCAACTAAAAAATTGCCTGGAGGTGTTTTATATTTATAGCATATTTGATAGGTTTTATGGCTCATATAGCATAGGTGAAAATATGAAGAAGAAAAAAAACACTTGCCCACTCAGCAAAAAAAGAAAGCTGTAGATATGTATGTGGCCAGTAAGTAAGATTAAATTCTGATACATTTTTACTTTTAAATAATCAAAGCTCTGTATTATCATGAAACCCATATTTGCTTATAGTCAAATCCCCCCAGATTACTTCAGTCCAGTATTGTATGTAAAAGTTGCCTGTCATACATTGTCAAGCATTAACAATTAATGCTTGATTCGCCCTGAAGGACATCAAAACAAGATGTATGGGGGGTTCAGCACTTTAATACTAAGAAATAGTTTACTATGATCTGTACTTTAAATAATAATATTAATAATTAAATAATAGATAATAGAGCTGCACGATTCTGGCTAAAGTGAGAATCGCGATTTTTTTTCTTTTGCCTAAAATAAAGATCACGATTCTTTAGATGTAAAACAAAAGTTAATATGAGTGGGCTATTTTTATTCTCAAACATGTGGTAAAACAGCAATAGGCTTTGTGTGGCGGTACTGTTGGTTAAAATGCTAAATTTTGTACAGACTTGGAATGGCGGACAGATTTTAGATTTGTCCTGGTCATTAATGCTGATGATAATTCTGATGTTGCATTGTGTTTGAGACATGCTTACAATCTGTAATTTTCTGCTTAAAGTCTTTCACTGACGTGATTTACGTGAATACAGAAGACTGGGTGCATTTCGGCGGGTTTTTGATACTTTTTGGGCTGGAATCAGTAAGGTACATCTGGCAACACTTGTGTATGCTTTCGGTTTCATTTTCACTGCTAAGAGCGGTTCACTTCCAGCAAGGCTCCCAAACGATCGCTTTGTGCTACAAACTGAATGTTATTTACAACTTGATTACCTGGTATTACATGTTACAACTTTATTAGCCTATGCAGGTTCTGTTCACTAAAGTAAACCTCATTCAGAGGCGCGCGCCCTCCGTCCCTGTGGTAACAGCTGACAGTCAGCTCACGTCAAGTGTGATTTTGCGGTCGCAATAACATTACATAAAGACAGAAATGACATTTTATGAGGTAAATTGTATCTTACAAATACAGCATGTGACTCTTTCAACATCATTTGGAGGTGTCCACGTTGATGAACAACGTATGTAAAATAATGTGAAGACTTGTGCGGTCACCTTTGCTTTACTCCTGAACTTGAAAATATGATTGACAGAATCATAGAAATGCTGGATTAAGATCGTCTAGGGGTTGAATCGAGATCGCGATCTTTTTTCGATTAATTGTGCAGCTCTAATAGATAATATAAATACACATTTGACCACCTCTTCAACGGTTCATACCATTGTGAATGCATAAGTGTGTCGATTAGTCTATGCAGAAAAATAGTCTGCAACTGCAGATGTGGCCCACCGATTGATTTACAATAAGCATTCAAAAGACTGCTTTCTCATGAAATTTGAGCTTGTTTCTACATACAGCCTAAAAGTAAAGTCAAATTAGATGGATAGTTATTATTATTTGACCTAATCAGAGGAAACTGTATGGCAAAATACACACAGTATCCCTCAAAACACAGCAAACTTAAATACATTTTTATTAATAAA